TAGGCTCCCTCAACCCCAGCACACAAGCCCCACCCCAACTCACAAGACCTCTTTCTCCCATTCCCATTTGACCCTGGAAATATTTCTCTGTCCCTTCTCGTTGCCTTGGCCTTGGCAATTTGGAATAAAAGTTTTCCCTTTTCACCCACAGAAGATCTATTTTGGTTTCTTTACTGTGCCCATTTTCACTAGGGAGATGGTTCAATTATTATTGTGCTTACCTTGCAGGCCCAAGGACCAGGATCTAAGTTCAATCCCTAGAACCTGATTTTTTTTTTTTTTTTTAATTAGACAGTCAGGTATGTTAGCACAGATTTGCAACCCCAGTGCTGGGCAGGTGACAGGCAGCTACCTGGTACTCTTTGACCTATTTAGTGGACTCCAGAACTATGAGAGACTGAACCCCAAAAAAAGAACAAAATGATGGACAGCACCTGAGGAGCATCACCCAAGATATCATCTGACATGCAAGCACATGCACACACAGCTCCCACGTGCACACAAAACCACCAAGAAGAGAGAGTAGGTGGACAGGAACAGGACATCTTTGACTACTTAGTTGGAAGGACACATTAGTGTTCATTTCCTGGAAAGGGAACTTCTGAACTGCTATCAGGAGCATAGTAAACCTTTAACTATTTCTTTTTTATTGCTGTGCTGAGATTGAACTCAGGCACATAAGGTAAGTGCTCTTCATGAGCTGCATCCCCAGCTTCCTCTCCAAAATATCTCCAGCACTGATTGGATGACTGGTCCCGCTCTCCGCTGCCCTCTGAATAGGGCTCCTAGATAGGAACAGTGACTCCAAAAGCATCAAGAGAGCAATGAGTGGAAGTGGGAGCCTGCTCTTGGTGGTACACTGAAGTGATAGAGGGGGCTAGTTCCTGAGATCCAGGTCTCTCCTACTTTGCCTGGGAAAAGAAGGAAGCTTCTTTAATCTTGCACCCAGAGGAAGCAGAGGAATGGTGTGTGAGCGTGTGCATGCACGCACAAGCAGGCAAGATTCAGGTCTATAAATGGGAGAGTTAAATGGCTTTTCCTGTTCTTTACAAAGGAGCACACAGGTGACTGGTTTTTAGAATCTCCAGGCAACTGCAGTCCATTATCACAAGAGGCTCATGGAGGGGTTAAGAGTGGAGGCCCAAGAGGTAGCCTAAAAAGGGCTCATTTACCTGGGGACACTATCCAGGAAGTAGGAAGGCTAGAGTCCATCTAAAGCCTCACCTGAGCCAGAAAAGCCACCACAGGAAGAAGTGTAACTGTGGGCTTTCTCCCTGTTGACATATACACAGCGGACAGCCAAACATTCATGGGACACTATGGAGCAACTGTCCCTGGAACTGAACTACGTAGACGCACTACATACTAGCTCTCCTTGGATAGCATTGTCGAAAAAAGTGAGAGGACTCAAGGGACCAGAGGTCACCTGCCCCACTATGAGATCTACATGACTCTGAAACCTACACTGTGGCCCTCAGTGTACATGGAGGCCCTAATGCAGAGAGCTGCAGGGGTTCCCTCGCAGCAGGGGGACACGTCCCCATTACCATGTGCCCTGGTCAGCAGTGTGCACACTCAGAGATGGGAGGGTTAGACTAGATGGTGAACAAAAACGACTGTCTCCTCTGGAATTTTCTCTCACTTTTTTCTTAAGCACTGTATGACAAATTTGCTTCCTAATGATTTTTGAGTGAACTACAATGGCCACAATTTCAAAATCATTAATAATTCATGACCAGAGGCCATAAACACTACATAATCTCTACAGGCAGGAACCATGAATACTTGTTAGAGGCAAGGCCAAGAATATTTTTAGCAACTGAACTGAAGTATTTATAGCTGCAAAGCAACCATCAAGGGACATTTCAGAACCAACTGTGGCACCCGGCACCTCTTCCAGGCAGCTTTTCCTTCCTTTGGAGCCTGGTGGCTTTATATGGGTACTTCTGGGTTGCCCATCATTCCCCCTCTGGACCTGTGTCTGTGGTATCTAGAGCCAGTGGTGGCTGAGGGGCTGGGTGCCAGGCAGACTGTACACAGTACACAGGGAGCCTATCATCAGCAGGCTCGGCTGCCTCACACTCTGGAAACTCATTCTCATCCTCAGCTGCACGTGGGCACTGCAGTTAACACACTGGGATGTCTGGATCCACACCCAGAGCATGATTAACTAGTCTGAGGAGACCTAGCAGAAGAGCTGAAAACTGGCAGTTAGGCCAGGTGCTTTGAACAACCCTGTAATCCCAGCGCTCTAGAGGCAGAGGTGGGAGGAGCTCAGGTTCAAGGGCTGGAGAGATGTTTTAGTGAATAAAACAAACATTTGCCTCACAAGTGTGAAGACAAGAATTCTGATTCCCCAGAGCCAACACAAAAGCCTGGCAGGGGTAGCAACCACCTATGTAATTCCAGCACCTGGGAGGCAGGGACAGAGGATCCCTGGGGCATGCTGGCTAGCTAGACTAGAAGAAATAGGCAAACTCAGAGTTCAGGGAGAGACCCTGTTTTTATAAAGGAATGATGATAACAGTCGAGTAATACATTCAACTTTAACTTTGGGCCTCTCCACATGTGCACCGGCATACACCCACCCATATGCACACACAAACACACACACACACACACATAGGAGAAAGAAAGAAAGAAAAGGAAAAGAGAGGGGGTGGGAGAGAGGAAGGGAGAGAGAGAACTGCAATAGGACATGAGTCAAACAGCACTACTGTTTGAAGGTGGCCTGGGTTGAAGGCGGCCTGGCAAGCTCACTGGGACCCACACATACCCCTCACTGTGTCAGCTCATGACCCCACACAGGTAGAGTCACCATCTGACCCAGGCAGAAACTGCATTTTCCCTCTCTGAGGAGGGAGTAGCCCCACAGAACTTCAGTGAGGAAGAAACATGGCACGTGTGCCCAGCTGACTGTTCCAACCAACCCTAACAAAGAGAATTCCTGTCTTTGCCTTACCTTTCATGTGACATTGCTCGATCAAAGGCTAGCAATCTGCATAAGGCACACAGTGCCACCAAGTAGTGAGGAAAGGGGTACAGAGAGGCAGGATGGAGAGGGACCAGGGAGCGAGTTCCCAAAGCAGCAATGTGCTATTAGCTTTGTTCTTGGTTTTTCTAAACAAACCAGAAGCCTGTTGAGACAGTCAGTCGGCACTCTCTTTTTCAGAGGGCCTGAAGCCATCTTAAATATCTTTCAGAATTAAACCTGGGCATTGAGATAAACAGCTTCATGTTTTGTTTTTCACTTCAAGCACTTTTTAGAAGAGAAATGATCTGAAAAGCTCTCAGGCAATTGGCACAATGGAGCTGCTGGGAAAGTGGTAATTAGGAGGTTCTGTTGCTAAGAGAGGGCAGAGGAAGAAAGAACAGGAAGCTCACTTTATTCCTTACATCCCCGCCCTTTTCCTCTCTCAGGGACATGGGACTTGATCAAGAAGCCCGATGGTAACATATGGTCCTTATGCCACTTCCTGCCTACCTGAGCTTTAAAGGTCTTCTGTTTTCTTTATTCATGTCTCTCCAACTTTGACTATGTTGTTTCCTCAGACTAAAAAACCCCTACTCATTCTTTAAGAGGCAGCCTGACTATCACCTTTTCTGCAAAGACTTCTTTCTTTTCATGTTTCTTTAGACAAGGTCTTGCTATACATGCTAGGCTGACCTTGAACATCATTCCTCAGCCTTTCAAGATTTTAGGCCTATCCACATAGTTCTTAAAAAGCCTGCCTTTCTTCTTTCTTCCTTCCTTCTTTTCTTAAGATTAATTTTATTTAAGATTTATTTATTTAACTGTGTGTATGTGTGTGCCTGTTTGGGAATGTGTATATGAGTGCAGGCATCGGTGGACACCAGGGTAGAGTGTCAGATTTGGAGCTAGAGTGGTTGTGAGCCACCCTATGTAGATGCTGGGAACCCAATTCTGGTTCTCTGGAAGATCAATGCTCACGCTTAACTGCTGATCCCATCTCTCTGGCCCAGCAAAGCCTTTCTTGATACTGCAGACAGGGTTAGGGAATGTGGTTTCTGCCCTGCAATCCCATTTTCTCTACCCTATAATGGTAGTGCAATGGTCAAGGGGTACTTGTCTTCCAAGTACACACCACAAATAACAACTTTTGTCACACCATCCTTTAGTCCTGAGCAAATAAATAGGCTCAGTTTTCAAGAATGGTCAAGTACTGTGTGAGTCCTTGGGCTCAGCCATTAAAGGCTAGGCTCACAACCAAAAGACAAGAAGTGAGACCTGGTCTCCAGGGTGGTGGCACACTTGTAATTCCAGAACTTAAGAGCAGGAGAGTCTCCAGTGTAAGGCCAGCCTGGGCTATATTTCAAGTTCTAGACTATTTGTCTATCTGGGCTAAGAGCTCCTGTCTTAGGAAAAAAAAAAAAGCCTATTTCCCTACCCCTTTCCCCTCTTTCTTTTTCCCTACCTTTAAACCTGGCCTGCCCTATGGCTTGCTCCTAGACTCAGCTGAGCTTGAAAAACAACCTTTTATTCTTAGAAGTGACAGAAGTGACCCCGTACCCTTTGGAAACCCAAGACTCAGGAGGTTTTGCAGCTGGCACCCTGTCCTCTTAGCCCCACTGAGCAAACTTGATTGGCTTGCTGGAGGAGACAGCATGTGGAGAATGAGGTACCTTGACTGGTACCCAGCAGGCTCCACAGACACAAGTGAGCCGTACTGAGAGCAGGGAGCCTGGCCTGTCAGCAAAAACCCAAAGGAGGCCAGGCTGCTGACTATAGACTCAGGAACCAAGAGTACAGCTGCTGTTCTAAGCAGATGAAACCTGGAGTGAGTGTCACACCAAGACAGATGTGCTCCGAGAAAGAGCATTATTACAAGTGACAAGCAGTCAACAGTCCAGCTGCCAGTTCTCAGTTGGCCCAGGACTCAGGCCAGGAACGCTCTTCAAGAGAAAGGAGGAGGTGGTCACAGAATGCCTGTTCACCCTCTTGGTCTCTGGCTCTTGCAAATAGCAGTGGATGGAGTTACCTCTTTTCTCTCCCGAGAGCAGGACCGGCTTCTCTCCCCCTTCCGCAGGGCCTGACCTGTAGCAGTTCAAAAGCAGAAGCAGAGATTAAGGCTGCTTGGGAACAACTAGTTTATTACTGCAAAAGCTTTTTATTTGCAAACTGAAAAGACAGGACCAATCATAATGAGATGATTCTAAGAAAATGTAGCATGTTATTATAATGGGAAAATGGCACACTTTTGAAATGGACCAACGGCAAGGAAAATGGTAATTCACACACTCACAGTATTTGACTATAATGAACAAAGCTCCAGCCCTTTAATCTGGGCCATTATCTGCACTCTGAAAGGGCCGGGGGACTGTAGTTTTCCCTGTCGAATTGCATTTCTATTAGATTGTTTGGAATTACATAAAACGCCTTCCATAAAAAATGCCTTCTGCCGTGGGCATAGCCATAAACTTAGGTGGGTGCATTCTGAGGTGCTGCACCAAACCCCAGACTCACAGCTCAGGTGATGTGCAGAAGTGAATTAGCGGTAATCACATGCGCTTCACATAATGGACAATTTCAGAGAGAATCGTTGCTTTTCTCAAAACGCCTTAGACTAGCATTTGAAGGTATGTGTAAATTCAATAGACATCATCGCTTGCAAATGCATCCTTCCAAAAGCATGTTTTCACATGTTTAGGAGTAGGACCTGGATGGAAGAGGTAGGGCCTTGGCCTTTGCAAACTATATCCACACCTGGTTCTGGCCTGTGCTTTCTGCTTCGTGGTATGTGCCATGGAAACAGCCAAGGCCTCATAGGAGAATGCTACTAACAGAGCCACTACTGTTTTCATGCCTCCCCTGACACAATGAACCTCACACTGTGAGCCAAAGTTAAACCTTTCCTTCCTCAAGTTGTTGATTTCGGGTATTTTGTCTCAGCAACAAGAAAAGCGACCAAGATGCTGCGTGAAGCCCCATAAGCCTTTGTCTTTTCCTCTCGCCACAGTTCACTAGCCCTGGGGCAGCCGTGACCATATGTAACCCTATGCTCCAAGTCTCAGTATGTCATCCCAGAGATGACACCCAACCCAGGCACTGTTTTGGGAACACATAGAGAGGGTCTCAGGACGTCATCCCAGAGATGACGCCCAACCCAGGCACTTGTTTTGGGAACACATAGAGAAGGTCAAGGCAGGGCTAATCCTATTTGTGAGCTTTGACGCCATACATAGCCCTAGGTCACCTGCCCTGGGACTGACAGAAAGAGATGGCAGCATGCCAGGACAGCAGGGCATAACATGAAACTTCAGCATGCTTTGGGATCCATAGACACACCCTTGAAGCTTTTCTGACATTGTATGTTTCTCTTTCCACCTTAAGACAACAAACTATTTAGGATTCAGTAATCTTTAAGGAGCCTAGAATAAGACACTGTGACATGGAGTGTCCATGGTGGACAGACTAGGGAGATATACAGTGACAAGGTACTTGTCTAACATAGGCAAGGCTTCATCCCCGACACCACAAAAATGATGATGAGGGAGGGTTTATGTGAAGACGGGAGTTATATGGGAATTCTGTACATTCTACTTAATTTTGATGTGAATACAGAACTGCTTTTTTTAAAAAATAAATAAATAAATAAATAAATAAATAAATAAATAAATAAATAAATAAATAAAGTTTTTAGGCTGGAGAGATGTCTCAGGGGCTAAAAGCACATATTGCTAAGTTCAATTCCCAGCACCCATGCCAGGCAGCTTACAACCACCTATAACTCCAGGTTCAGGTGTTCAGACACCCTCTTCTGGCCTTCATAGGCACCAGTCCACCCATGCCCCTACCAAAGATAGTGTTTGCTAATTTATATACAAATCAAGGCAACCAAAAAAAAAAAAGAGCAGAGTCTAAGAATCAGGAGATCTAGTTATTGGGCTAATTTAATCATGGATTCATGATACCCAGTGTTATGGGATAGGACCTAGGGAGAACCCTTTGGCCACAGCTGCTTTGGCTGTCACCATGTGGATTCCAAGTAGATCCTTGGGATGTCCAGAAAGGATGATATAACAGGCAGTCTAGTCTGCCCACACAAAGCAGACCCACATGGGTCTGGGCCTGGAAGAGACTACAAGGCTGGAGGCCAGAGATGCCAAAAGACCAAGGTACGTACACAGAGGGACAGTGCTGGCCTAGGGCAAGGCAGGGGCAGGAGGGCTGTTAGAGCCAAGTGGAACAGCCTAAGTCTGGCAAGGCCCTTCCTTCGTCAGTCACACCAACCGAGGCTCTGCTCTGGGAGAACAGAGAACCCTGGAACCCTTGCTAAGCTCCAGGCTCTCTGGGGTGTAGCTGTCTCCTGATGGTGTTAAAGCTGGATGTGATGGCACATGCCTTTCATCTCAGCGCTTGGAAGGTAGAAGTAGGCAGATTACTGTGGGTTTAAGGCCAACTCCAGCCACATAGTGAGAATAAATAAAATGAAAGAAAGGTGAGTCAGTCAACCATCACTGGATTTGCTGTTCATCTCCTAAAATTCCGTTACAGGCTGGGGAATGGCCTAACAGCAGCAGAGTGCCTGTCTGGCTCATATAAGGCTCTGTGTTCCATCACCACACCACATCCACACACAAGGAAAACAAAATGAAGTTTCAACACACAGTTAAAACAAAACTTAAAGGTGGGCCACACACACAAACTTTAACTACTGGGTATTGAAGGCACATTTCTCTTCTGGAGTTAATTAGAAGTGTCTTTATTCATTAAAGTGGAAAATAATTTGCTTATCTTCCAGTGCAGATAATGCACTCTAATTATGAACATTTGCGTCTAACCTCCCTAGAAGCTGACTGGGTCCTTACACCCAGGAGCCTCTCTCTCTCCTGCAGGTAGCTCCATGATGACCACTTCTCGTCAAGAAGAGAAGGAACGTATTCAGATTCCTCCACACCTGCCTGCTGCATCTGGCATCTCAGATTGTCCTACCTGTAGCTCATTTATTCTCACAACAACCAAGAGAGAGAAGTGGGTAAAGGTGACATTAATATCAATCTCTACTGCCTACAAAATGGAAGGGGTGTTCCTCTGCAAGGTGACCTGCCTACATCAGCTCCAGAGCAATAAATAAGGCCAGATGTAAATGCTACGTGTGTGCTTTGCTTTAGAGGACAGATGTGTGCCTAGGGAAATGAAAAGAGACGTGAACCTGCTGAGCTTTTGTAAATAGAACACGTTTCCCCCCGTTTACGGCTTGAGACGAGCTTTATCTGCACTTAGGATTTATTGTCAGTGGTTAGGATCTGACACTTCAGTTTTACTTTGCTCTAGATGTACATAATATTCACTGCTACCATTTACTGGGAGCCATGTCTTCATCTGAAGTCATCAGGCAAGAGGAAAATCATGTCAAAATTACCCTTGAAAATGAGTTTATACCATTCACAATGGACAGGGCACAGCTTTTTAGACCCACTGCTGGGGACTAATGCACATGTGTAAAATCTGGTGCGTGTGGAAATATATAGTACATGATAAAAATACACATGCAAAGTATTTCTTTATTACACCCCTCATTAAGCTATCCCTAGTCAGCTGCTCCCTCTATTTTTCTCTAGTTAGGCAGGGGAAAGAGGTGAAGATACAGGCAAGAGAGTGGTTCTGCATTCATGGAAGGTCAGCACCTGGATGCCACAGTTCTGCTGTGCTAGCCACCTGTCTGCATCAGCTGTGTTCTTCCTGAACCCTCACAGACACTTTTGTTAGCCAGGGATCAGTAAACATCTTCTATAAAAGGCCATACAGAAAGCATTATTGACTATGTAATGCATAAGGTCTTAAGACTATAATATCTGGCACCGATACTTTGCCACTGTAAAGGAAAAGTAGCCATGTGTAATAGGCAATTAAACAGCGTAACTGTTCCAATAAATCTTTATTTTCAAAAGCAGGCAGCAGGCCAGAGTTGGCCAAAGGCTTGCTCTTTTATATTATTTTTATCGGTGCTGGAGATTGAATAATTCTTGCTTTAGAGAAATGCTTATTATTGTCATTGGTATAAACCAATGAAGTAAGGAGAGGCAAACTGCGGGTGAATGACTGAAAGGCTTACCAACTGTCATTAAAGTGTGCACTTAACTGTCGTCACCATCACCGTCACTGGCAGCATGATCACCATCACCATGGGTTGCTACTGTGGTCAGAGTTTAGCAGGTGCCAGGCACTAGGCTCCAAGCTGGGAACATGTATCAACTCACTGACACCTCCCAGTTGCTTAGGAAATTGACACTGCTATTATCCAGTGTCAGATAAGGCCGTGAGATCCAAAGAGGCTGGGACCTTGCTCAATATCACAAAGCCGGTGAGTAGGGCAGCCCCGGTGGTGGACTGCCTTAACCTCTATGTGTCACTGTCCCTCAGCCAGGTCATTAGGCCTAGTCTACGAACAAAGACAATACAGCAAAGTGTTGGGGAGGTGTGTGAGAGAAGAAGTCATTCTGTGATGCAGCATTTAATCTGTCTCGGGTTCCCAGAGCAATTAATAAGGAAATTAGAAGCAAATGGCTCCCTGGTGAAGCTGGCGTTCCCTTCCCACCAGATGGCTTCCTGAGAAGATCTGGAACAAATGCCAACCGTGGAGGGGCAGGCTTGGCATTCACTCTCCCTTCAGGGCTTTGGAGAAAAAAGGTGACTCGTGCAAATCCCACAGCACAGAAAGCCTGGGCCACAGAGTCCACCACAGGAACTAGAACAAAGGACTTGTTTGTCTCTAGGAGAGTGATGGTGCTTCCATGTTGTACCCAATGAGACCAACTTATTTTCTGTTGTCAAAGTATGATGGTTCATGTTGCACTTTCTGTGTGCTCATGCAATTTAATTTACACTAAAATTACCCTTCTCACCTAACAGCCTGAGAAAAATGAAAAGGATCTAAGAAAGGCCTTGCTGGGTGGAACACAGAATGGCTCAGCTCCTTTGGAGAGCATATTGGCAACATGCTCAGAAGCACAACGGCCATTTTCCCTTGGAGCTGGCAAGTCTTTACGGGAAACTTGCTGTGCAGTCCACAACTTCTACAAGCAGGAAGTGTG